CAAGTGTTCAGATGTTTCCTGGCAACAAGATGCTTTTATTAGACTGAGAAAACAGTGAGGCTGAGGAAGAAATAAACCAGTGTTCTGGCCTCCTCGGGTCATGATTAAAAACGTTTTTACTGCAGTTGGAGTGAAGGGATAAAAGTAGATGTGGTTTTCTGAAGTGCTGCTAATAGCATGGACGATTCTGGAGCCGATGAGTGTGATAGGGCTGCAACTAACTGAGATATTAGCACGAAGAAAACAGCCGACATTAATGCACAAATTACCCATCATCAAAAATAATTGTAGCTTAATGAAGTATCATCGCAGCTCTAAAAGATGAACCACGTTTTTGCTCGTGGTATGACGGTGTGATGGAAATTTAAACAAGCGTCACAAGATAACATGATAAACGAATCAAGAGTGAAGGATTATGGTCTGGTGACTTGTCAGTGGCCTGACGTAGTTCTTACGACAGCTGTGAACAGAGGTGCTGCAGAGAGAGCGACAATTCTCTGAAGCAGTGAGTCTTCAGTGTAGAAAATGTCTTTCACAATATTCTATATTATTCTATATGTATTACTTTACATGTTATGTTTGATTGTAGAACCATAACGTCTTGTTTCATCATCATCATCATCAACCACCGTGTCTCTGGATTCATCTACACAACTACATTTGTATCTCTGTCGCTATGGTAACACGCTCTGTCCACACACCTCAGGAGTGTTGGAAGTTTGAAAACTCTGGAGCTGCGTTTTAGAACTGAGACGTTTCTAAACGATGACACAGTTGTTAAGAGTTCCACCTGTTCCTGGTTCTGAGCTAAAACATTTGTGAATGGTAACTGGTTTGGATGAAGCCTCTGAGCCTTGGTTTTCCACTGCTGATAAACTATCATGTTTGAACAAGCTGGAGAATATGAGCCGCTGTGTTTAAAGCTCTGCTTGTGTTTCTGTGTGTTTATGTGTCATCACAGGCTGCATACCTCCACCTGCCTCTTACGTGAGGACTGGTTTCACAGCTTTCTCTGCACATTGTGGTTTCCCCTCTTCGTCGCTCGCAACGCTGGAATTTAATTTTAGCCATCGACTGTCTCAGTTTTTCATTTCGGAACAGACGTGGAACTCCAACTACTCTGTTGCCACACGCTGCCAAACTAATGATTGAAATGGTGAAATAATAACCTTTGTACAACTTTAATGGTTGAGGTTAAAATAAATTCAACTTGAAAAATAACCAGACTTTACCTCTGATGCGTTACCTACTAAGATAAACGGTTGGATGATAGTAAAGTGTCTTTTAGAGCGAAGTATCTCTGGGACCAGCAGCACACTGTCTGTGCACGATTCCAACTCTTCATCTAAGTACAATATTTGTTTTCCTGCTCATCTGGTGTAAACAATAAGGTCGTGTGTGTGTGTTACATAAAAATCTGGCTCCACTTGTACTGCAGCTGCTTTCAGTCAGATATTAGCTGAAGTATTTGTATTATTGAGTTTTGGGACATTTTTGATTTTTTTCATGTAGATTTAAGAAAAGAGAAAAGAGCAGTGAGCGTGACAAAGCTGCAGAAAATGTCCAGTGAAGGTGTCGTCAGTGTCTCATATTGATTTTCCCTCCGCTTCCTGTTTCCCTGCGTCTCTCTCCCACTGTTGCTTTTCCTTTAAATAGCCTGTTCCTCTGTTTGTGGGTATAAACAGCCCAGAGCGACATGGCTGCAGCTTCCACTGAGGCTGGACTGTTGTGCAGATTAGCTTAGTGTAATCAGTGATGCATCATCTTCATCATCATCTCTCCTTCAGGCCAGCTTTGATTCTAGTGTTTTCTTTTTTGAAGTAGAACAAATGAACCATGCAATGCACTGAATGGAAATGGCAGAAGTTTTTCCCTCAGCGAGTTACACAGATTTCTATGACGCTGTTAAAAATCCTCTGGTTTTCAACTGGACTAAAGTCTCTGCCATCACAGATGAACCAGTTGTGTGTCGGAGTGAAGCTCGGCTCAGTTTAGCACATATTGACCAGACAGCCGACAGAGAATTATCCATGAACCCCAGTGACTCCAGAGTTTAAATGTTTGGTTGGATTCACTGAACAGTTTGAAGTTGAACCATATTAAGGAGAAACTAACCCCTGGTACTAATATGTAAAAACCGTCAAAGATTTATTCTGAATGTGTCGTTATCAAACCCTAATGACAGAAGTGTTATTGACGTTTGATATTTTACAGTTTGACCAGAAACGTTATCATTAATAACTATGAATAAAAGAAAACAAACCAAATATATGATCTTTAGTTTTTCTCCAGCAAAGTTTTCTCTTTACAATCCTGAAGTTTTTCCTCTTTTTTACTTATCTGTTTCCACTCAGCTGTTTGTATTCATCACATTTCACATAAAAATAGTTGAATGAAAAGCAGAGCTGTTTCACTTCAGTTCATCCTCGTGTGTGGGAGAGCAGGATCTGTTTTTCCTTCCGTCTGTCTCTTTTTCTTGGCACCGCCACTTTGTCCATAAATGAAGAGTGTTTCTTTTTTCTCTGTGTGTGTTGTGTGTTGTGTGTGTGTGTGTGTGTGTTGTACAGAGAGGCCACAGCTGTTTTATGCCAACCTCGTGACCGCTCTCAGCCCCCGTCTTCGGACATCTATTTTCTCCTCGTCTGTTCTATAATAAATCAGCGGCTGAATCCCCACTGCTTTTATTTTTTTTCAAACCCCTGGGGTGGAGTTGAAAACACTCTCACATGTGCACACACACACACACACACACACACACACACACACACACACACACACACACAAACTCTGTGGAGCTGTCGGTCAGCTCATCAGAACACTTTTCCACACTGTCTTGAGTACATTTTCCAGCTGAGTGTGTTAGTTTTGGCGGCGGCAGGGTGGTATCGTGTGACGCCAGAGCCCCCACGCCCCTTCCTGAGAAAGCTGCCGCTCGCTGCCGACTCTGACCTTAGACCTCAACCTCATTTTATTGGTAATCATCACAACAGATCTTGCAGAATTTTACATCTGGATGTTTCTTCTCTCCAGAGGACGAACCCTTTATTTGTTTAGTGAACTTTGCTGCAGCGTCACCATCAGCACAAACTCCACTTATCTGGCTCGTGGTTGTGCAGTGTTCGTGGTCGCACAAGTGTTGTGTTGTAGTATAATTTGGGGTTAAGGAATTTTATTTAGATAGTTCTGCAGCTGTGTGAACAGCTTCCTGCTCAGCGTCTCAGACTCTGAAGTGGTCGGCCGGTGTTTGGTTCTCTCTGCTCTCTGAGTGAATATTAACTAACTCCCCTGACGTCTGCCTCCATGACTAAATAAAGCCTCCTCTGAGGAGCTCTGTGCCGTCAAATAAAAAGGTTTCTGTGTTGGCGAGGATAAGGAGGATGCGCCGACTGTCAGCCGCACTGCTCCACTTATCTCTTAACAAACAACAAGACAGTCACACACTGATCTAATGATGGAGCGGACTCATGTCCAGACGTCCTGCGGGAGCTTCTACGAGTCTGTCTGGAGATTCTTTTGGTCCATGAGGAGGTGTTTGGAATCCTCGGTGAAGTTTCAAACAGATCCTGAGGGGTTTTTTCTTAAAGCTTCATTTAGATGTTGCAAACACGATGGGATGCACAGGAGTTGAGTGAGGTTACCATGGTGTTTAGTGAGCGTTTACATGGGTGGTGTCGGAGTGTGTTACATGGGTTTTATGTGAATGGGCCTTTTAACGAGTCTGTGGCAAAGGGAGCTTCTCTCCTGCACAGAAAACAGTGAAGCTCCTGAAACGCCTCGTCAGTCGTCTGCAGCGTCTGAATCATTGTGACGTCACGACGCCCCAAAACAAAGGTAGAGTGAAAGTGGAGGCTGTCATTTCCTACAGTTGCTGGAAGTGGTTGACCAATCACAACAGAGTGGGCTTTATCAGAGGGGGGGGGGGGGGTCTTAAAGAGACAGGAGCTGAATCCAGGTGTTTGAGACAGAGGCTGAAAAGAGGAGCTGCAGCGATGGACACTGTGAGGAAAGTGATGTGTGAACATTAGAGCATGAAAACATTTGAGTGATAACACTTATTAAATTTATCAACCTGAATATGAGAAGAATATGTTTCCATTAAAAAACACGGCAGATTCAAAACTGAGAGTTTCCCACTGGTGTCAGTGTGACGCACAATGTCCGGTTTTATTTCAGGCTGCCGTCTCTCCGCTTCTTTTTCTGATGCAACAGAAATCTGATGAAAAAAAGAGCGTGTGTGTGTTTGTGCGTGAGTGTGTGTGTTTGTGCGTGAGTGTGTGTGTCCAGACACACTGAGGGCATGCGAGGTATTTTAAGTCGGTTCCACTGATCCATGGGGGGAATCTAGGATCTGATGGATTTTAGAGTTTCCCATGGCTCTTACTGGTGTTCCAGGGCCCTTAGTGACACTCCATTGGATATTGAGTGTGTTCTAGTGGTTTCATGTAAAGAGATTACAATCGTCCTTGAGTGATTCAAGTATTCGTTCAGTTGATTCCTAAGCGTTTGCTTGGCAAAATGAGGATAACCTTGCCTGTAGCCTGACTCATCTTAACAGAACAGAGATGTTAAAATAAAACAGTCTGAACTGTTGAGTAACCACATCGTTATAAAAGCTGTCAAAGTAAACATATATCGTTCATATCTATCATATCTAAACTATCTGACGTTCACAGAGGTGCACACAGTCTATTGTTCCAGGTCCCTTGGCAGTCGTTTGCTCTGTTGAAAGATTTTTTTCACACGTTAACCTGGTTTCACACCTGACAGCAGTAAATCGAGCTGCTCTTCACTCAGTGTCAGTTTAAAAATCTGAAGCTGTTCACTTTCCAGAAAAATGCCAAAGCAGAATTTCATTTTGTTCCAAGCGGTGCAGACACGTCTTCAGATGCATAATCGTGGAAATGTTCCCGGAAGCTCAAGTTGGTATTGGATGGATTTTATTTATCTGGAAGCCTGAAGATCATTGGTTTTTACATCTTTGTTTCTTCCTGGTGTTTCAGGTCGGTGGTCGTGATGTTGTCCTAAATCTGACCGGCCTCCTCTGCTTCAAGTCTACATTTCCCATGGAGCTGTGCACCAACACACACGCTGTTCAACCATGGAGCCACCATTCAGGTATGGAAAGACACACACACACACACACACACACACACACACACACGGTTCCAGCTCCGTTCCACCCTCCAGTCAGTGTAACGTCTGCAGGATGTTTATTGTGGTCTCATGAAAAACATTACTGGTTGGCTCTCTGCTCCCTTTGAGTCTCTCTCTCTCTCTCTCTCTCTCTCAAACATAAACATTACTTTTTGTGCTCAGGCACCAGTGATCACTCCTTATAACTGTATTATCCAAACCTCCCCCAACCCATCTCCCCTGTGTTTGAGGAGATTAACCTTCGACCCCCTGAGCTGGACCGATGGCAGCGTGGGCCAATCAGGAGGCTTTCTGACTTTTAATTGCAGGCTCTGATTGGGTCATTTGAGTTGTCATCTGGTTTGATTGATAACCTCGGTGCAAGAGAGCAGGAAGAGCGCTGATTACACGGAGCCTGAAGGGGGTGTGTGTGATATATAGGTGGAGTAATGCTTTGTAGAGTGAAAGAAAGTGTGTGTAATTGTGTGTGTTATAGTTTGAGTGTTTAACATAAACGTCTGGGATGTGTGTTGGACTTTGTGTGTAAAGGGTGAAGTCATGTGAGGAAAGATCGTGTGTTAAAACAAACAATTTGATTGATGGACAGAAATATATTTTGACCATGAGAATAAGTGATTAATTGATTAATCACATCAATGAAAAATATGAGTGTCGATTAAATAACAGTGGTTTTCAGGATCTCTGACCTAAAACTTGATCAAAGTCAAGGAAAGGTTCATAAACTGATCTAATTTGTTGAAGTCTAAACTTTTCTTGTCTTGCTGTTTGTCGTGCAAAGACTTTGTGGATGAGACCAGAGCTGCTCTCGTTTTCTTAAAAGCTGAAATCTTCGGATGATCCTTGCAGACCCTGTCTATCAGCTGTGATGGAGTCCGTTTTTTCCTGAGCACTTTGACATACGAGATGAGTTTCCTGCGAGCACGTGACTGTATGTATGTATGTTGAAATGAGGCAGATTGGTGCCTTTGTTTCAAACAGAGCCGTCCAGTCTGCAGCACAAAATCACTCCCATATGTCCTTCAACAGTCCCGCCCCCCTGCCCTCGCCGCCCAGCACACTTCCCTCACTTGCTGCGTCTCGACTCGGATCACATTGGCCCGGCCCGGCTCAGCCTGGCTCGGCTTAAAGTACAACCTGGTGACCTGTGACTGTATGTTTTTAACTACTGACTCAAAACCACAGATGCTACATGGAAAATAAAAAAACTCTGAAGGATCCCAGGTTAAAAAATTAGAATCTGACAAATCAGAAAACTTAGGAACATTGATTGTGTTGGGGCTGGTTTGCATTGTATTTACATTGAGTTTATATTCTTACATTATTGTTTTTATTTTTTGCAGATGTTTTTTGTCACTGACTCAAGAAGTAGGAACTTTCCTCCAGAGCTGTTTTAGCAGAAGTTGAAATCAGCTGTTTTATATATTATTACACTGTGTGATGCAATTACGGACACTTGCGATGTGGTGACGAAGAGATGAGTGATACTTTCCTCTTGTGACGTGATCAGCATGTGGAAATAAGCATGGGCGTTCGACAGTTTCTGGAGTTGATGTTATCTTTACTGCAGCTCAGTGAACGCACCCCCAGTGGACGACAGGGTCTGAATTCTGCTGTTTATCAGAAACTCTGCAGTTGGGTCATAAATTCCTCAGACACTCCTGTGACTGGTTTACGAGTCAGTGTGGTGAGCTTCCCTCCTCAGCCTCCTCCTCCTCCTCCTCCTCCTCTTCTTCTTGGAGAGTTTAAGAAGCTCATTTAAAAACGTAGCTGACCATTGAGTTAACAGATGTCAGTGTTTGTGTGTCTGCACAGAGAAACCACACTTTGGTGTAACATTTAAAAGTTGGGAATCCATTATCTGTGGTGATGAATCAACATAAAAGTGCAATATTAGTCTAAACTAAAGTTATTGGGTTCATTTAAATTAGGCTGTGTGCTCTGTGAGTATATGATTACCACATGTGGTTGGAGGAATATTCCTGTGCTGTTGTTGTTCTGACGCCACATTTTAAATCTGTATTTACATATTTGATCATTTTACTTCTCGGATATGACAAACAAACTGTAACCGCTCAGACTTGAATCAAACTGGTGTTCAGCTCTGAGAGGTTGGATTAAAGTCATAAGTTATCAAAGCTTTGAGTCACATAAACACACCGACTGTGGCCTGCGCTGTAACACACACACACACAGAGAATACCCCCCCCCCCTTGTTGAGGGCCATCAGATGACTTCCTCCTGCCTGAACTTCATCACTGTCCTCAGCCAGTTCTGAGCAGGTCAGGTTGAAACATCTGGAGGTTGAAACTTAAAGAAAACTTTACTACCTTCTGAATTGGCCTTTATTTGTTCATCCGTCACTTTCCGCTGTTGCACTTGTTTATTTTCATACAAAAACACACTCGGACAAATACACAGGACCACCTCTGTCGGTGTATCGTACGTGCACGGCTCTGTGGCCTGGCTGTAGTTTCCAAGGCAACACGGTGGATGAAACCATCCCGGCCTCCCGTCACCGAGTCCGGCCTCAGACCGGACCACCCACACATATACACACACTCGCACAGCGCCAGTATTCTGTCTGCTACAATTACAGTTATATTTGAGTTTCATGTTTTTATGTCTCTGTGGAAAGTTGTCAGAGCTCCAGTGTCTCCCAGTTTCCACTCCTTCATACTGGGATCAGACCAGTGATGCAGCAGCTGAGGCAGAAAATGCTTTTGAAACTTTGAACGTCAGAGTGTGATTGGCTGTGGTGATCTCTGTTTCAGCTTTTGAAGATAGTTGGTTAGAGATGACTGACAGCAAATGAGGGTGGAGAATCGAACAACTCGGTGCGAGGACAGTGTTTTGGTTTCTGGTCTCACAGTCGCCATGGAGCTTACACTTCCTGGTGTGTGTGTGTGTGTGTGTGTGTGTGTGTGCACCGAGTCAGATTCCAACATTAGGGAGCAAACGATTTTCTACATTATATTTATGTTACATTAAAAAAATTACAATTATTCTTAAGATGTTTTCAGATCCAACCCTCGTGAGAAGAGCAACAGGGATTACATTTGTTTTTACAGTTTGACCATAAACTTGACTATAGATAACTACAAGTAAAAAGAAAACAAATTACTAATAAAAAAGATTTTTTCTTGTCGCAGCCTTATATTTGTTGCTGCGGAGGAGACTTTGTTTTTCAGCAGCAGCTAACTGGTTGAACTGGGAGGACTGCGCGGGGAACGTCCTCTCCATCATCAGTGTGATTTATGATCATAATGTTATTTTTATGGTCTGAGTGTATTTGTTTTATGACTCAGCTGCAGGACAAAGGCGACACTGTGCCGGTGATGGATAGACCTGTTTCCATGGTGATTAGAGTGATTAAAACTGATTAAAAACACCTTCAGGGTCTGAACCACATCGTGCTGCTTATTACTTTTATTACTCTGTGACCAGACTCGACGTCTGTCTGTGCACCGAGCGGGAAAGTCTGACAGCATCAGGACCGATATTAACGGCTTATTCAGTCAGTGATCGGTTCATATTGACGGAAAGTAGCTGTATGTCATTAATGTCCGACCTTAAACCTGTGACACCCCTGTGGATGCTGGGTAATCTGCTGCTGTAACGCAATAGATGAAGAGAAGAGGAATTGATGAAGTAAATCCTCCAGTTTGTAGCTGCAGCTGCTCAAATCTCCAGCCAACCTCTAATGAAATTACACTTCGTCTCTGTCCACTCGCTTATCTGATGCACACACACACACACACACACACACACACACACACACACACACAGATAAACAAATTACAGCTAACTCCAGGTTTTGAGCTCACTACACTAAGGCTACAAGGGAGTTTTCGCTCTGCATCTGTAAGAATCCTTGTCCATCACCTAAAAACACGTAATCTGATCATACGGTGTAAACAGGAAGTAGCTGTAACCGTAGCAACATACTTATGATCAATGAATTTGTAAAAATCATAAATTTGAGAAACTGTAATAGATATTCCGTGTTTTGACGATAAATTACAAAATCATCAAAACTGTACTTTACTGTACATTTTGTACTTTATACCCTGAAGCACAGTTTACATTTAGTTTTACAATCTGATTTTCTCGTCATTAACTTTGTTAATAATAACAGTCTGGAGAACCATCTAAATTAAACATTTTAAGTTATACGCTCATCGTAGCTCTGGGTATTCTGGGTATTCTTATGCTAATCCATCGCTGGGGATGAGGCACAGAGCAGCCAAGCAAACAATGGCAGTGGAGCCAGAAAGTCTGGCCTGCAGTCTCCCAGGCCCTGAAAGGCATGTCGGGCAGGGCGCCGACACCATCGGGAGGCTGCTGCAGCACCCAGAGGCCTGCCTGCAAGGAGGGGCCCCTGGAGGGGATGGGGAACGGGGCCAAGATGGAGGGAGGGAGAGAGGATGGAAAGAGAGAGAAGAGGAGAAATGAGAAGCAGCAGGAAGGGAAGAGGAGGAGGAGGAGGAGGAGGAGAGAGGGAGAGAAACAAGGAAGATGGAAACCTGGAGAGGGGAGGGAGAGAGAAATGGTGAGTGAGGGAAGAAAGATGAGGATAAAAGGGGGAGGGAGCAAGATCATAAAAGAGAAATGAAGAAGGGAAGGAGCTAAAGGTAAAGAATCGGACAAGAAAAGAGGAAATCTGATCCTGGAAAGAAAAGAGTTGTAAAGATGATTTTCACTTTTCAAATGGAACAACAAAGATTCCTGAACTCTCTTTTTACAACCAGGCGTCCAACGACATGCATCAGCGTTCACAACACAATTAATCTATGGTAACAACAGACTCCGGGTGGCAGAGAAGTTCCCTCATGAGAGAAAGAGACGGAGGACGGTAAAAACATTATTGACAACACTGCAAGTTTGCAGTAATGTGACTGATGGAAACGTCCAACTCAACTTTACTGTTTCCTCCCTAATGGAAACATCAGTGATCGACCTCTTTGCTGCACAAACTGATAAATATGCTAATTTCTGAGACATTTTCTCTTTTAACCTCAGTTGTTTTCCCTGTTTTCAAAACTTAAACTCCTCCAATTAGTCAACTATTTGATTGACAGATGATTAATTATTTTCATTGATATTTTTGTTCTGTCTTCTCTTAGAACTTCAGACTTTTTTTTATAGACGTCGCTTTGAGCACTACATGATTAATCAGTAAACTGATGCAGTGACGACGCAAATATCTTCATGACTGGACGGATCATTTGTAATACACGTAAAAACAAAGAAATGGAAACAGTCCATTGCGTATTCTGCACCAGCACTGATCTCAATCTGTCTCATTACTGCGTTTATTTATGGAGCTCAGGAGCTTTCAGCCCCACTGCTCCTCCAATCAGGACTCTGCATCGTTTATTTAGTCTGTCGCTGTTCTTCCAGAGCAGGAAGAGGAGACACATTAAGGCCTGATTATTGATGTCTGACCCCGCTGCTGCAGGCCGTCCAGAGGGGGAGCGTATTCGGGATGGATCATTAATAACCTGCACCTCCCTCACTGTTCTCCACTTGCTCGGTCCAGAGTCAGTTTACAGCATTTTAACAGTTCCAGGAGCTGGAGCTGCAAAACAAACCGAGACGAGCAAAACAAGCTGTGTGATAAACTGGTTAACCATTTTCAAAAGCTCCGGACGGCTCAACTGAATCATTTCGTTTTCACCCGTGTCAATTTTATTGATCCAAAAATGGAAAATTGGTTCCGGACAAGTTTGTCTTTCACATGCGAAGAACTCGTTCACAACAACAGGAACATGCAGGGAAACTGACTCGAGCATTTGTATTCTCACACGCTGCCCCCATGTATGTTTAATGTATGAATTTCGTGAGTACCACATAAAAACATAAAGGTCGGGCTGCAACTAATAAGTTCTGGATTATAGTTCAACCACGACTACAGTGACCTCATGTCGTTTTGTTGAAATACGTTCATTTTCACAGTTTTTGCAAACACAGAAAAGCAACAGATTCTCTATCTGAGAAGTTTTGGGCATCAGACTTTTTCCATTTCTGCTTCATCAGTGACTGAACTGATTGTTGTCAAAATGGATGCTGATTAAAATTCAAAGTTTGTTCTTGATCTTGAAAATAGTTACTTCCTCTCCAGGAAAACTCCCAGGTGAGTCTTTGGTTAAGGTTTTTTTGTCACGTACCAAACTCAGAAATGTTTCTGGCTCCGGTTTAGAAGAATACAGCCATTGTGGGAATTGAACCTGTAACTGTCACAGCGTCGTTGTCTCGCTGAGACTAAAACTAATCCTCAAACTGAGGTTAAACTGGAGACTAATCCAAGTAATAATAAAAGTCATCGCAGCGTAACTTGGTGTTTCCTTTATTGAACTCAGAGCTGTATCATTTTACATGATCGTTTTTATAGCCGGTTAGTTCTCCAGCCAAATGAAAAGTTATGAAACCCAGAAGCAGACACCTTCACTAAAACCCTTACAAGAGCTCGGTTTCTTCTACAAACCTAAACCCTCTGCTTTGGTTTCAATCCCACCAAATTTCCCAACATCCCTGGAGAGGTGTGACCTCAAATTCCTTCCCCTGTTGGGGGGAGGCTGGCCTGCTATGGCTCAGCGGTTCCCTATAAGGGCCGTTTATTCTGTACAGGTGGGACCACCAACAATACCTCCTTTCATTCCCGTCACGCTGAACGTTCCTCCTCCAAGACTCTTGATGTCACGTCCAGCTAGCCGGAGTAGCTATGCTACATTAACCTCTGTTAACTCGGGAGACAGACCAGTGGACATAGGTTGTCTTTCAGGGGAGAGGACACAGGAGCCAGTACATATCAGATACCATGAGTGGAAGGCCTGTCGATGTCTGTCAATGTAACCCTTAATTAATATCAGTCCCCCTCAGCCAGGATCTTTCTTTGTGTCAAAACTTTATTTATATTAGTGAAGAAACTCTTATAATCTATATCTAATATATATAAATATATATATAAATAAATATATATTGTTTTCTCTTTTTGTGACTGGCGTGCAATAGAAGTCTCATCAACCCCCACACGCTCGCTCTAATTCTCCTGGGTTTATACAGACTTTATAGCAAGAGGTGAAAGTCCACCGAAACCACGGAGTGTCTCACTCAGACATTTGCGTTCACACGTGCAGCTCCTCCAGAGAAAACATGGACGAGCTGCAGAGTTCAGTGAATGTCTGACAGCAGCTCTTGTGTCCAACCAAGTGTTAATGATTGTTACCTCAACACTGCCAATGATACCTTGATCATTTCAGGATCTGCTTAATGAACATCGTACATGTTGTGGTGGATATCTGAGGAAACGAGTCACTGCAATCTGGGTTAAACAAAGTCGCTGCATCGCTCTGTGTTAACGTCGGCTTGGGGAAGAAGGAGTTTGTTGTTTGACTGAGGAACAGACTGAAGGGTCAGACGAGTTTGAACATGACTGCGCAGGAGGAGGAGGAGGAGGAGGAGGAGGAGTGAAAGTTACCTGACACCTAAAGGGTTCCTCTTTTACAGAATCTGGCTCTGGGTTTTATTGTAAGGATTTTTTATTTCTCTGTCAGCCTCCAGTGTGAAGATGTGTGTTTGAGTGTTTCAGCCACTCAATCTCCGTGTGTGTGTGTGTGTGTGCATGGTCATCTTACCTTGGTGTTTTCAGTGGTGTGTGTGTGTGTGTGAGAGTGTGTGTGAGTGTGAAGTATCTGGGAGGAGACATACTTCCTGTCGTGGGGGCTCACAACAGACAGTCCTTCCTGAGCCTGCCTGGTCTTGCTCTCCCTCCCTCCGTCTGTCTGAATGTGTCTTTGTGTGCGTTATCGTTCTGAACTGTTGTTGTTGTCGGTGTCTAAATGGAGCGAACAGCCAAAAAAACAAACTTTAGGTTTTGTTGTGGCAGCGAGGTGAAGATTTTTCCACTTTCTGTTAACGACACAGTGAAGTAGAACTCAGACAAGTGTGTACACACGCAGTATCACAGTATACACACTCACTCCTTCACCCTCTGCACACACACCTTAATCCTCTTTATTTCCCCTCCGTCTCTCAAACACATTCTTCTGTGCTCCACAGTTTAAAAACGTGTCTGCGGATCTTGAAATATCTTGAGATGCATTGAATTCAGTTTCTTTCCAAAAAGATGGTATTTAAAATGTGTTTAAAGTGTTAGCAACGATATATATAATATATTTTTTAAACTAAAATATAAGAGTGGATGTAGTATTGGTTTGATCCTGCTCCTGGCTGTTTTAACGGAAGTCATTATCAATGTTGCAGTCGAGTGTAAACAACAGACGGACCCTCAGGTCCCAACTCAGCAGTTTACCTGCAAGTGAAAAATAAGTGACGCTCCTTCGATGACGGGAAGAAAGAAGGACTTCTACATCAGAGCAGTCGTCACCAGAGGACGAGGTCCATAACAGCACTTATCCCTCATCCACAATGTTGTCCTTTCATTCTTTCCCAGGACTCTCAACAAACATTCGCTCTTGACCTCTTGGTGCCAAAAACCACTATTGTTTACACTCGGCCTCAGGTGACTGAAACAACTTTCATTTCCACAGCCGGGAGCACGAATACACCAGGTGATGTCAAGTCCAGTTTCCCTGGATTCAGCTGGAGAACTGCAGCATGATGACATCTGATAAACCAGCAGACTCATGGATCTGTTGTCAGGTTGAGAGAATGAGTTCATGTCTAATGACGATGACGAATCTTTACATGAGTGTCACGTGACGTACTCGTTTCTGGTGTGTGAGTGTGGACAGGGATCGTTATTATTATTATTATTATAAGATTGTATGAACATCCGAGATTTAAAACACTGTTAGAAAAGAAAACATTAGTTTAGAAGTTCTTACTCTGAAAATCAGTCAAATCGTTCACTTCACACACACACACACACACACACACACACACACACACACACACACACACACACACACACTTGTTGACGCTCATCCTGGCCTGTACTGTGTTTCTGTGTGTGTGTGTGTCTTTTTTTCGCTGCCTCCTCGGCCAGAGATGTGTGAAAAGTGGGTCACAGGTTGGACCTCTTTGTCTCTCCC